AAGACAGCTTTAGTCCACCCGATCCCTAAAAAAGGTGACCGATCAGACCTGTCCAACCACAGGCTTATAGCCATCACATTCTTGTCCTCCAAAATAATGGAGTCCATTGTAAACTATTAGCTCATGAGGTACCTCCTACCTATCTCCAGCTAATTGATGAATACGGTTTTCGTCGTGGTCGATCATGTCGATGTTATGTCGATCATGATCTTCTGGTTTACCTGAGTCATAGATGGGCAGAGGCTGTAGAGTCGAAGGGAAGGCGTTGGCCGTTAGTTTAGATATAGCGAAGGCTTTCGATCGGGTCTGGCATAAAATGCTTCTTACGAAGCTTCTTTCCTATGAGCATCCCGAGAAATTGTGTAATTAGATCACTAGTTTCCATGCTAATCGGAGCATCAAAGTCAAAGTCGACAGTGCATGCCCTGATTACAAGTCTATTAACGCTGATATTTCACAAGGCTGTGTGCTACCAACGCTGTTACTTTTGCATATCAATGATATCTTTCAAACTGTTAACATTCATTGCTACGCGGAAGATAGCACTGATGGTGCCTTATACAACGGCCGTGCCAATATTTATAAAACGTCACCGAGTACCGGGATAAACTTGTGTCGAGTCGTCGAGATTTTGCTGAACAAAGTCTCGGTTTGAGGGAGACTAAATCTAGTCCAATTCAAACCCCGGAAGACACAAGTTTGCGCATTTAGCGCTAAAAATAACCCTTAGTCGTATTTCCTCAGTTTGAAGGTTTGCTGTCTCAACTAGCATCGGAATCCTCGGCGTCGACATATCGGATAGTTTGCAGTTTCGTGGTCACTTGGATAGGAAAGCCAAATTGGCTTCTAAAAAGCTTGGTGTGCTTAGCAGAGTGAGACAGTATTTCATGCCGGCACGTCGTAATTCAGATTATAAGATGGAATGCATCAGCTGGACGTTGACAGCACTGGTGATAGTGTTCGTCGTCGTAGTAGGATACCTACTATGGCGCCGCTGCAAATATGTAGTGAGAGGCTGCGTAATGAAGCAGAGCGTAAGCAATCCGACCATGGGGAGGGTGCAGGCGGTTTCCAACCAAGCCGCACCTACGCCTGCCGGTTTCGTATAGTGTATAGTGTGCGAATGATAACCTAGTGTAAGTTATCTTTGGAGGGAAATGGTGTAGGGACACAATATAGGGATATAGGTATACATAATATACTGGGTTCTTTAGATCGCATGTCCGGTGTCCTACATCATGCCCATACGTATTTAAGTATAACAGCTATATGTATGTGTAATATGTATAATAGTTATAGATGTGGAGGCTGCGTCCGCCATGTTTAAAAATTAGTCTCAAATATATCACCGTTTACACACGACACGTGTCTTAATTTATTGCAACCTTAATTGTACACCTTAATGACTTAAGTAAATTATATATATATATATATATATATATATATATATATATATATATATGTATACATATGTATGTATATGCGTGTGACCAAGATAAATAAGATATGTTTTGATCTTTCTAAATGATCTTTCTAAAGGTTTAATAACAGGCCGTTTGTAATATTTTGGCGTGATCGATTTAGTTAGGACCCTTATTTACGTTGTGTTTGTTTAGTAACTTAGCTCTTTTAGGTGCCTTTTGGAAGAATGAATATTCACTATAGCAATTAAAAGCTGTTGGTAGTGCCTTTTAAGCTAAGTGAACCCCGTTCACGAAGACAGGGCTCGAGAAAGGTTGAGAACATAAAACGTCCCTATTCCACTTGTATCAGGTTTACATTATTAATTTATTATTATTTATCCCTTCCCGCTAGGAAAAGGCTCACAATATATTTATACAAAATACCTGATACAAGGGCTTCGCTCTCCTGCATTTATTTAAAAAAAAATGTAGGGGAGGCACACGGCTTCACACACGGCGTGCGCGGTGAGCGCCAACCATTTTGATGCACTCCCCACGAAGGGAACGCTAATTCGGGAACTGGACCGTAGTCCACAGCAAGATAACTGGGGAACCAGCAAAAGAGGCTTGGCCCCTTGTTAGTGCGTAAGCACAAACATCGACCGAAGTCACGCATGTAAATGCGTGTAAACGCCAAACAGAATACGAACGAATTCAGCCACAGTGAATGTAGGTCACACGGTTTAGGCTAATAGGCACACTGGCCGTAAACCCGTCGTGAGCGCCACCACCTGCCAGACCGCCGCTCCTGCAGACGTGATGTAAGTGTGTGGCATCACCACCGATTGCATGATCAGCACGGCTACTAGCCGCAGAGCGTGTCATGAGTCTACCGCTCACCTCAAGGGAATGGGGTCCCACGTTGTGCGGCTTTCGGCCGCAGCCTTGAGAGTCTCCTCAGATCCTCCCGCCAACTACCACCCGCATGAGGTCGACACATATGCTCCACCAACCAATACAACGGCAGATATAGCCAAAAGGCAGTTATAAGAAAGGCAGTATATAGATAGTAATAATTTGCCATCAGAAACGTTTTGTGTCACTGACGTTGAGTAAATTCATTTTCGATCATGTTTGTCTCACCCACCAACAAGTTGCCTTCAATCATTCAAAGGTGAGAAAGTTACAGAGATATATTATTATATTTTTATATAAAACATCGTGGAGGGCAGACAGTCTGCAGCCCCGTAATTAAGAGACCCGACTTGGACAAAGCTATTCAGGTGTAAGTCAAACTAAGAGAGCGAGAGAGAGAGAGAGCGCCATTGAGAATAGCGTCCCACCAAACAACCATCGCAGAGACGCAATGCTGCAGAAGGCAACAAGCACCAATACGACTATCGTCGGGCTTACACCATTCCAAGGTCCCCCATATATCCCAGCACACTTCACCACCCTGATACCTCCATCGACCACAACCACAAGAGTCCGTCGAATCAGGCGCAGCACACCCGCAGATCTATCACAAGATGCAATAACGCAAGAAACAGTAAGCATCCATGCAACTATTATACGGATGGCGCCCCCTCACAACACATTCATGATCCCTATCGACTTTGTTAACAAATTTTGTATTGCTGGTAACTAAAAAAATATCACCAACGTATCATAGTAGCACGCTACTAAGACGCCAGTGAACAAAACTCCACGTACCACAGCGCTAATGCACTAAGACATGAAGTTGAGTATGCCTGTTACAATTAAAAGTGCTACCAAACACACTCATTATCCAAATCCGAAAAATAGACGACGCATCGCTATGCGCTACGACGTCGCCCTCAAACGGTATGGGTGTGCGATGTCCACGGGAAAGCCGTACTGCTACAACAAACCCGCTTACCACTGGCACTAAGATGATATGTCTAGGATACATCGGTTAGCGAGTCCAAGATTACCTCGGACCAATTGCTCGTGAAGCAGCATACACGCCACCATAATATTCCTTTTCAAGTCCCTAATAAGGACTAGTAATTTTGCTACACTACTAAGAGCAGTCGGTCACCCGACCACCCCATATAATGCTTATGCATCAAGGAAACCTTCTATAATATTGCTTTATTATCATAGACCTCACTTTCATAAGTCATTAATATATAGGACTTCAACCCACGATTCTACTATTGCAATGCTATTTCATCATAGAGACCTTCTATAGTAATGCTTTTGTATCATAGACCTTACTTTCATAAGTCATTCATATATAGGACTCGAACCCACGACCCCACCATGGTAATGCAAATTCATCATAGAGACCTTCTATAGTATTGCTTTTGTATCATTGAGTTTATTATCATAAGTCCCTAATATAGTACTACTCATAGTGCTACAGTACTTCAAGCAGTCGAGCTCCCGACCACCCCATATATATGTACAACTGCAGGTATGTATCTCCGGTAGTTCCTCCATACAAGACATCTATACATGAACACCTTCCACAACTTATTACAATTTTTAACAAATTTTTTTAATTATCTTATAAATGTTTTTTCTTATTATATAGTTTTTTAATTAAATGTATTTATTATGAAAGACAATATTTTGCCTTTAATTTACTATGTTATTTGTCTAATGTCTGAAATGTGTTTATATTAACTTTATGTTTATTAATGTAATGTTTTGCTTTATATATATATATATATATATATATATATATATATATATATATATATATATATATATATTATTAAGACTATTTTTGATGCCCCTTTTTTTTTTTTGGCCATGCGGAATCGTGTTCGATTCACTGGCGCTGCGTAGGGATGCTGCATCCCTTTGCTTTTTTATCGATTCTACCACGGGTAGTGTTCTAAGGAATTGTTCGGATTAATTCCAGCAGCCAAGTTTCACGAACGCACATCGCGTCAAAATTCACGATACCATCTTGAAGCTTGGCGGTCCACCACCGTGCGATTTACTAGGAGTTTTCTTCCTCGCAAAAATTATCGATTGAGTTGTTTACCAACGGCGATTTTTCTAGACCGATACGACTTAGGGACCTTTAGGAAAAGAGCTTACTTCTTTCTAAAAGGCTGGCAACTCACCTGTTATACCCTGGTTTTGCGGTTGTTCATGGGCCGCGGTTGTCAATCAACATCAGGTGAGTCGCATATTCGTTTGCCCACTTTTCTGTTTTTTATAGGATAGGGTGAAAAACGAGCACACACTCCACCTGATGGTAAGTGGTTGCTGTAGCCTATAGATCTCTACATCTATCCTCATTTACGAATCAAAATACAGATGCGTTGTCACCCGTGAGAACTAAGATGGAATGCCTCGTTTCCGGTTAAAAGGGTCTCCGGATCTCTACACTCACCATACGAAACACAGCAGCATTAAGCTACCATTTTACGCTTGTATTCTGTGAGAGTGTGGTCCTTCCCCGGTCGAGAAGCCACATTTGTGCTACAACTATACCTCTAATATAACTGCAACATGAATCTAACACTTACTAAAGTATTCTACACTTACTAGAAAAAAAACCTTGACCACTAGAAACCTTTCGTTCCGATCGATCTCCTCTTCTGCACTTGTTCACAGAGACTACATTCGGAGTACGCCGGTGTGACAGTGCCAGTACTGAGGATATACAACGAGGCAGCTACGCATATCACGTAAGACTTCATCCATCCAGGATCATAACTGTGCACCTCATAACTATATATGCTTGACATATGTACGAATAGAATATCCTCTGATTTACTTTATTATTGTCATGCTTAATTTCAGTTTTGACAAAACGGTATGGAGGAAATGTTCGATTGATGATAATAATAAACATTAACCACGTAGTGGCAGTGTAAAAATATCCTCTACCCCGTATCGTCCCGTGGGTATTTTAAGAGGGAGGAGTGACAGAAAGAAACTGAAATAGAGATAGGCAGCAGCATTTTTCTGATAAGAACTCGAAATTATAAGAGCTTAGAATTCCAACCCACCTGCCAAGGGTAGCAATTATGACAAAAATCCTCCCTATGGGACAGTTTATATGAGAGTCATATTTTCAGTATTAAATTTATATAATCATGTCTACCAAACCGAATTTCGTTCACGACGGCCTGCCTCAACGTAGATTAGCCATCCCTGCGGGATAGGAATATAATGCCCCAGTGTATGCGCAAGCACAGGTGCACTCTCTATTCCCTCACTCTCGTAATCCGATGGGATGGTAAGCCGACACGACCGTAAAGATGCCAGGCACACGACCAACGGCTTTACGTGCTTTTCCAGCCACGGGGATGAGACACCGCCAACATCCTGACTCCGAGCAACTACTAAGAATTTCTTGCCTGTAAAACTCAATAATTTATTTTTTGGCCCGACCCGGGATTAAACCCAGGATTTTGTGATCAACAGTCACACTACTACAACCACGAGATCATCGAGGCAGTTTACATAGTCTGTAATGGAATGGAACCTTTAGGGCATGCGCTCAAAAACAGTACGGCATGTCACGGCGTGTGAAGGTATTTTTGTCGTGGGAAAAAGATTTTCGAAGTAATTTTAAAGGTGTTAGCACTTATATTCCTTTATGCCCCATTTACATTCAGCCCTATAGGGCAGGGAAGTGAGCAGGGCAGTGAGCAGGGCAGTATGTAAACAGGCTACTCGCGCTGACACTGCCGCTGCCGCTGTCACTGCCCGACGATCCCTCAAATGTCGGTTTTTCGTGCGGAAGTCAAAGGACGGGCAGCGCGAGCGGCAGTGAGTGTTCACATTCAGCTCAATCGCTCACTTCGCGCCAAGCGCCTGGATGAAAGGACGTGCGTGCCGTCTTGTTATTAAATAAGTACGATCTACCAAAATGCCTTTCGAGTGGAATAATGAAAATACAATAAAGTTTTTAGAGCTGCTGGAATCAGAAAAAAACTATGGGATTTCAACGATAAAAACCACAATTCATCATCTTCTACGAATACGAATTTTCTTTTTTGAGATAACATAGTACCTATGTACGTAATTAATTATAAATTCGTCAAATTTATTATTTTAATATAAAATTTAGTTTAAGGAATTAATGAACATTTACAATTTATTTCTAAAAACGATTAGTAACTCATATTGATTATTTATTTATTAAAATGTAAAATAAGTTAAATGGTAATATTTGCATAATAGCCTGAGATTTTTAAATTATAATTTTATTGCAATTAAAATTATGAATTAATTTATACTGTAGTGTAATTATTAAAATAATAATAGCTTAACTAATCTCATATAATATTTAATATTATTTATGTAACAATAGGGTAATAATTCAATTAATAATTTATGAACAATTTATTGTATAAGAATTCAAATAGAGTGGATCTGTATAAGTATTTAATTAATACATAATATTTTAATTCAAAAAGAATTTTTGTACCTATCTTTTAAGCAATGCAATAATTTTAAAATATAACATTGGGTTTGTGTAATTAGCTGTATTTCATATCATTTTTGCATGCCAATTATAGCAAAACATGTCAGTTCCCAATGACGTGGAATCTCGTTTTTGAGATAACATAGTACCTATGTACATAATTTATCATAAATTCGTCAAATTTATTATATTAATATAAAATTTAGTTTAAGGAATTAATGAACATTAACATTAATTTTATTTCTAAAAACGATTAGTAACTCAATCGATTATTTATTTATTAAAATGTAAAATAAGTTAAACGGTAATATTTGCATAATAACCTGAGATTTTTAAATTATAGTGTAATTATAAAAATAATAATAGCTTAACTAATCTCGTATAATATTTAATAATATTTATGTAACAATAATGTAATAATTCAATTAATAATTTATGAACAATTTACTGTATATGAATTCAAATAGAGTGGATCTGTATATGTATTTAATTTTACATAATATTTGAATTCAAAAAGAATTGTTTGTAACTAACTTTTAAGCAATGCAATAATTTTAAAATGTAACATTGGGTTTGTGTAATTAGCTGTATTTCATATCATTTTTGCATGCTAATTATGGCAAAACATGTCAGTTCCACGTCATTGATGATCTTATGTACCATGTTTTTAAGCAAATAAATTTCTATCTATCTATCTATCTATCTTCTTTTGAACTTGATATCTTTTTAAATTATTACGTAATTTTGTATTGCAAGAAGACACAGCGCGGACGCTGTAATTATTTCGATTTCGACGTCTGCCATAGTCGAAAGCCGAAAGCGATGTGAGTGGTAGGGCAGAGTGTGAATACACACTTCCCGCGATCCTGTTACGGCAGTATTTAGCGAAGTATTGCCGGCAGCGCGAGGAGCAGTGGCAGGAGCTGAATATAAATGAGGCTTTATTTCAACACGAATAGACGGAAACGTCTCGCGTGACACCGCGGTATGCTGCTGCATGTCACGAAATTTCATGGGACGCCGAGGCACGCTGCTGCATCGCTTGAAACACATAGGTTACTTTATGTTGTTAAAGGAATGTAAGTGCTAAGTAATTGAAACGAGGTTGAATCCAGGCTGTTGCGGCGGTAATCTCAGCGACTTGCGCGAGCGCCCGGTACGCGAGCACGTCTTGACTTGTTTGGCATGACACAAGATGGATCCTTAGGTATGCCGAAGTATGCCGAAGTATGCCGAAGTATGCCTTGCCACGCCGTGTTACGTCGTGCCGTCTGTGAGCGCAAGCCCTATGTACGCACCCTACTGCGAGATATACATGTAGAATTAAATTAAACTTTTTCCGTGGTTGAAATATGACAAAATATTAATATATTAACTTACTTGTTAAAAAATATAATTTTTACACTTATTTCAGTCACGTGTTGGTAGCTAAAGTGCTTGCAGAAGAGTTAGAAAATTTAGAACAGAAAAATTCTACAACTTTAGCTTCGGAATCTGTAGAAGAGCACGTGCTTCAGAAAGAAGAGGATTGTCCAGCGCCAGAGTATTGGCAGGCCACATTGCCGGCACGTATTGCAACGGAATAGTTTTAATAAGTTCTAAGTACGATAGCGTACAGTAATTGTTTTGTTAAACCTATGTGTATATCATGTATGTCTTAAGTCGTACCTGAGAGTACTATATTTGTTCCCAATTATGCTTAGTTTTATCAAATCATCCAAATAGGTAAGTCCACCTCATTCAAGAAGTAAATTGACGGATTCAACTCGTCTCAGCAGCGTTTGCGAAATTAAATTCAAGGTATTAAAAAAAAGTGTCTACAACCAGTGCGGGTTGTAAGTAACACTTGAACTGTGACGTGGTCTTCCACTGCTGGCCCTATGAAGAATTTAAATGTTACACAATGAAGTATGAGATAGCTACATTCGGAGTTTTTCCGCGAAATAGAATCCTAAATAGCTCAGCACATCATTGAGCTAAAGTGACATTCCCATGTAGCTCGAATAGAACTGGAAAAATACAAAGGTTTTAAAAAAAGTTTTATACCGGTCAGTAGAGTATAGGACTGCCTGCTGCTCGCTAGATCTGGTAAGACAGACATTGAAATTTGATGAATGCAGGTGCTTATGTCATGAGATTACTTGAGGAATACTAATATGTATAGTTATAGACTTGTGAAGGTTTGTAATTATAAAATAATAATAACGTCCTCCAACTTAATTTAATTAGGTTTCGAGGTAGCGCTCTTGAGTATGCAAAAGCACGGGTTCACTCTCTATTCTCTCACTTCCGTAGTCCGATGGGAAGGTAATGTGACGCGACCGGAGCGAGGTCAGGCGTTGCGGCTTACGGCTTTACGTGCTTTCCGAGGCACGGTGTGAAAAGTTTGCTAATTTTCTGACTCCCGGCTGCTACTAAGAATTTCTTGAAGAAAAACCCAACAAGTGATTTTGGGCCCGACCCGGTGTTTGAACCCAGGAGCTCAGGATTAGCAACGTTTACAAGCACTGGACCTACTAGGCTGTAAGCAATGAAAGTTTATAGCAATAGTGATCAGGTACGGCAAGAGCGCGCGGCGCACGTGCTGGTGGCGGCGCTGGGTGCGGCGGGAGGTGCGCGAGGCATGGCGCGGGCGCTGGGCGCGTGGCCTCTGCGCGCGCTTGCGCCGCCGCCGCTGCTGGCCGCCTCGATGTCGCTGGCGGAGCGCGCGGCGCGCCGCCGCCGCAGCCGCGCCGCGCCGCCGCCGCACGACGAGCCGCCGCCCAGTGAACACGAGCTTCGCGCGCTCTGCACGCCGCCCCTAACCACCTGCCGACTTCGGAATATGGTACTTGGACTCGAAATACACCCTAAGTATGTTTTTTTATTTATATATTTAGGCTTTATTTGTACACAAATTTGAAAATCTCATTATTTTCTTACCATCACAGACTACTTACAAGCACGGGATCAGCTCGGCGAGCTAGGGTTAGTTAGGGTTAGGGTTGATAATCACAGTATGTGATGTCTCGTACCTTTGCATGCCGTAATCGATCTGGTAATGATACATTTTGAATCAAAGGTCATTTAACCTTAGCGTGGAATTTAGGAAATATGTAAAAAAAATCAAAAAACTTTAAAAGAGTGTGCTCCACGGCCATTTCAGTGACAACATTTATACGGCTTTTAATAAAACTTAAATGACATAATGGTGAAACTAGTTCACCAATGGTTATACCTTTTATTTCATTATAAATTATAAACAATATTTATTGAAAGTCACTCTGACTTTAAAAAAATATTATAATCATTAAACTTGCACATTAATTATTTACATAAAAATAAATAAGATATAACATGATAGCGATCACCTCATTCAAATAGGTTATTATAAATCTCTGTTTAATAAAGTTTTTAAACTTGATGGAAGGTATATTTTGTATATTTTTTATAGGATAGTGTGACAAACGAGCACACAGTCCACCTGATGGCAAGTGGTTGCTGCGGCCCATAGACATCTACATCTATCCTCGATTAAGATTCAAAATGCAAATGCGTTGTCACGCGTGAGGACTAAGATGAAATGCCTCGTTTCCAGTATAAAGGGTCTCCGTATCTCTACACTCACCATACGAAACACAACAGCATTAACATCGATCACTAATAGTTTTTATTAGTGATCGATGAGCATTCAGCTCCTATTTTACGCTGGTATTCTGTAAGAGCGTGGTCCTTCTCCGGTCGAGCCGACCCATTCGTGCTACAACTATACTACTAATATAACTGCAGCATGGCTCTACCACGTATAATGGGATTATGTTGTAAAAGCGTATTCATCATCCCAAGAATGCATTACTAACTCTGTGAAGTCGAGTAACTAGTACTACTAGCTTGTGTCTGTTCCTAACATTTACAGAATTAATATCACTTATTTTATTAAAACTACTTATACTTTTATGTGTCTGTACAGTAAGGTAGCTATATGTTAAATATTATCCCAACGTCTCCTCAGCAACTCAACCACCGGCACACGAACATGGTAGAAAGGAATATTAGACCCTACAGACCTGCAGTCCATAATACCCTAGCCGTACAATATAAATATACATACATAAATTATATATAAGTTCGGGATGTCTGCACCACGAGGCCTAAGGTAGCAGACGGACAAAGACAGGATGTCATGTGTTAGGTAATGAGCTTCTCTCACTGCCGGTCAAGCGGACTCATAAGACTTGTCAGGGTTTCTGACAGCTAAAGGAGTCTTGGCCACAATGAGAGGGAGTTATTACCAAGAGTTTCGACGCTAAACGTTGGAAGATGATTTTGTTCACAATAATGTCCAATTTATTCAATTTGATTTACTAAAGTACAAACAAGAATTTACATCGTAATCTAAAATTACTCTACATCACTTTTTAATGTGCTAAAGTTATGACAACGTAGTCATTGGAGTCATCATCATCATCATCACAGCCCTTCACAAGTCCACTGCTGAACATAGGCCTCCCCCAAGTAATGCCACAAAGCACGGTCCTGAGCCACCTGCATCCATCGACTTCCTGCATATCTTACCAGGTCGTCACTCCATCTAGTGGGGGGTCGCCCTACACTACGCCTACCGGTACGAGGCTGCCACTCGAGAACCTTTCTTTCCCATCGGTTATCGGTTCTTCGAGCTATATGGCCGGCCCATTGCCACTTCAGCTTACTAATCCGTTGGGCTATGTCGGTCACTCTGGTTTTACTGCGGATATCCTCATTTCTGAGTCTATCACGCAGAGAAACTCCGAGCATAGCCCTCTCCATAGCTCGCTGAGCGACCTTGAGCGTCCTCATACGGCCAGCAGTGAAGGACCACGTCTCTGATCCGTAAGTCATTGGAGTGCTGCGTTGCAATGTTGACAGCTGAACATCTTGGCGTCTCTCAGGAAGAGGTTCCAGCTAGTAGAGGCTTGCTTTGAAGGTGGCCGATGGCCTGAAGTTGGTTGGGGCTGGGCAATCCTCAGGTCGCGAGCTGATCTTGCTGGTTGTGTCTGTTCTGTTTGTTGTTTGGTCGGCCTGGGTGGCTGCGGCTGCTCAGCGTTTCGTCTGCGGTGTCTCACACGCGACACCAATCCAGTCATGTTTGATTGAAAATAATAGGTTATTTCAAAATATAAACGAAGAAAACTACTATCTAAGGTTTGCCATGTAGTATGTTCTAATTGTGCCTGTTCTTTGTTACCTAAACTATTAAAATTGTCCTTGGTGGTATCATGTATATTCCATTGTGGCGCTCACTGGATGAAATATGACTAAGGATTCTCTTCTGCCGTCGCCGCGCTGTCATACAAAAATCATGAAAATTTTCAAATTCCATAAAAATCAATATGTTTGGTAAATATTAATATAAGTAACGTAAAAGAAGTTTATGAAATATATTTATTTATATTTAACAAACTTCAACGTTACTTGGAAACCATTTTTACGAATAAAGATAAAAACATCATGCTCTAGCTAAGTAAAATGTAGTCATAACTTTAATATAGAGGTGGCACATAAACTACTTTACGTGTCGTATCATTGACAGCGGCGGTTGTGTGTGGGCGAGCACTTGCGAGGGCGCTGAGTGCGTGTCGCTGCCGGCGCTGCGGCCGCTGCTGCGAGTGTCATCTGCAACGAGCGCGCCTGTCTCCACCTTCCCGTACATGGTGCAGCCCGCTGTGTCTGACGATTACATAGCCGCGTGAGCTACACACTATTATTTAAACGATCGAATAGGCTAGTGGTCTAAATACCACTGCCACATTTGCTATTATAGCACGAATGAGTTTGCTTGATTGGGAAAGGGCCACGCACTCAAAGAATACCAGCGTAAAATAGCAGCTCAATGCTGCCGTGTTCTATGGTGAATATTTAGAACCGGAGACCCTTTTTACTCGAAACGAAGCGTTCCATCTTTCATCTGGAAACGAAGCATTCATAGTCCTCAGTGGTGACAACGCATCTGCATTTTGATTTGGGTTAATCGAGGATAGATATGGATGTCTATGAGCTGCATCGTCCGTCTACCATCAAGTAGACTGTATGCTTTTTGTAGGGTGACAGACATCCTTATTCTTTAAAAGTAATTTAATACCAGATAAATAGCATATCGTCTACTTTTATCTTCTTCAACTAAAAGGGGTGACAATGCGTCTACATTTGGATAAATTTAGATATCTCTAGGCCACAGCATCCACTTACTATTGGGGTGAGATGTGTGCCCATTTGTCACTCTTATTCTGTAAAAATCCGGTTTAGGTGTAAAGATGCCGCACACTAGCTGCATCAATATTTTATGCCAGAACCTAAACTATTTATCGTTTGATCTAATTATAGCGTTATCTTGATATTACATCAGTGTTCTTCTTCTCTTATTTCGTGTGTTACGTTGGAAAGGGAAGGTAGGTACACGTGAGACAATAGTTTGCGTTTGCGCATACCCTTGTGGTGCTATAATTTTTACTCAGCTTTTATGAAGATTTCTTGTTTCTCTTCGTAGATATTGGTTCTAAAAACAATCAGTGCAAACATAATTCAGAACTCAACTATATCCCACACTATTACACCGAATATGGAAACACACAACGATAAATTCAAAACAAAATTATTATACTCGTATTCTATTCTTATGTCATAGTAGGTGGTAACTTAGTGCTAATAATGCCCTATTTATAAACGAAAAACGTATCATATCATTTATTATAGTAAGTTTCCTAGTTCAGTGGGCTTGCAAAAAAGTGGTTTTAGATTTAGTGGTGACAACGATATCATATTTTATGTATAAAATTGTTATATCATTAAACGTACGTGTACATAACTAATTATCCGTTATTTCATGCTGGTATTCTGTAAAAGCGTGGTCCTTCCCAGATTGTGTCAACCCATTCGCGCTCCAACTGTACAACTATACGTACTAACATAGTTGCAGCATGGTTCAATAATCACATAATCAACACACACACAAACACACGTATAGCACGTGTATTTTTGTGTGTGTTGATTATACGAATTAAGTCCGTTTGGTGCTGTAATGATATGAGGAGGGACTGGTTGGTTGGTCGAGGTTCAGTGAGTGAGTGGTGGCCTGGTGGCGCAGGCCGGCAGGCGACGGGTCGGGGCTGGTGCGCGTGTGGGCGGCGCGGGCGGGCGCGCGCCGTGACGTCACGCCGCACGCCGCGCCCCCAGTCGCCGCGCTGCTGCCCGCCCGCACTCCGCCCCGCCGCGTGCTCGCGGGAGCCTCGCTATATGTAAGCATTTTACCTTATTTTTGAGCCGCCTTCAAGAACGATGTACATTTATGTAGCTATTAGATACTTTAAATGTTTCATTGAAATCATAGAGCAACACGGGCCATCGGCAGAACAAATTGGAGTGGCCATAACGTTTTTTCCCGACGCAGAACTGTCTGTTATTTTCACGAGGGGTATTCTGCGTACACAAAAACAATCGTTTCTCACTGCAAAACTTAGTTAACTTACATATAATAACTAAATTCAAACAGACACAGATACATTTCAACACAATTGCCCGATGACAGTGAAAACACGGATAGACACTCGAATCAGTCGCTCGACGGATTCGTATGTTGTATGAGAGCGATCTGCCTGTGTCGGTAAACAAATTCGAAACAACACGGTCGATATAATTGTAAGTTTTAAGTTCGAAACATAGTAAATAGTAGTAAGGTCATTAAAGTTAGTACCGTATATACGAGTATCAAATTTTAAACTTAAATCTTAATATATAAATTATGATACACAGTTATTGTATTTTTTGTAAATACAAGTAAATAACGCTTCTACTTTTATTTGAAATAATTCCAAATTGAATGTAATTTATGGGCAACAACAATTATTTCTACCGATCCACCCTTACGAATGTGTTTGTTTAGTGTATGTGCACTAAAATCAGCTCAATAATGCATTACCACGCAGTTTGAACTTAAAATATAAAAAGAACAAAATATTTTGAGATTTTTTTTTCATACATTTTTATTCAACCCATGCCCACATTACTTATTCTGGACCATCCCTGCAAATTCGTCCGGTTATTGCAAAATAACCCTGTATATGTAAGTTAATGCCATCTTTTTGTAAACAGTTTTTGAAAATACGAGTTAATAAGGCTTTTACTTTTAGTTGAAATTATCCCAAATTGAATGTGATTTCTGGGCAACAACAATTTTGCCTATTGATCGACCCTTACAAATGTGTACGTGCGCAGTAAAATCATTTATAAAGTGCTTTTTATTTATTAATTAGATACATGCTTACAAGCCATTAGGTTTATTCCAAAATTAAATCTATTTTAAACATTGATTTTTATTTAACCTTTTTGATATAAAATAATTATTGAAATAAAGCACTTTTAGTCTAGTATAATTTAACATTATTAACACACTAAAATTCGAATAAAATTTAAGACACATAAAAATTTAGACGTTGAAATTCTAATATACTTAAACATTTATACAACTAAGATAATTAATAATTGGTTCTTGTCTGACGCTGTGATTTTGATGACTTATCCCTTCAGCATAGGTGATGTCACCTCATACATATGGTATTGCAACTTCTAGATCCAAATCCCTTATGTTATTTAACTTGCAGATGTTGCGCAGTACATAGGTGGCAATAATAACGGCCTGTGTTGTCTTCACGAGTTTTCAGAGAGAGTATTGGAAACCGCCTTTTCCACAAACCAAAATATTTGGAAAGTTACAAAATATTTTACATTATATTTATGAAATTTTAAAACAAAATATTAATAAAGTAATATTTACCTTTCAATAATATTTCAAGTCTGTATATGTGCTTCATTGTAACTATTATCTGTGACAGACAGAAAGGTTGAGCAGTTGTGTAAAAAAAAATATGAAATAAAGGGATATGCACCGTCTCCATCAAGCCATTTATTTCCAAACAATCTCTCTTCACATTGCACACTGAAAATAAATTGCCAACCACACTCTTATCACACAATTTCCCACCACGTCACTCAGATTCAGCCCTAACGTACTCCTTAATGACCACATTTCTACTGCGTTTATTCTACTTTCGTGCTTCTTCTGCCACACCCAACTTCCACTACCATATGTTAAAATAGAGACTAACACAGCAAACACAGCACAGAATTACCATATGTGCCTTATTTGACACATTCTGACTTTTCACAATAGAGTTTAGAGCCACATTTACTTTATTTCCTGCATTCACGCATTGCTTTTTAATAAGAATTTGTTAATAGAATTCTGATACAAATTTAACAATTTATTTAATATAATACAAACATATTTTTATCACCCTATCACCATTAGTATATATTCTTACCTATATACTAAATCTATTTTTCATACTTGAAATTTGATAATATAGCTTAACATATGTAATCAAAAACATATTGATTATATATCAAATGAGAAGACAATGAAATTAAAATCTTAAAATTATATTTACAGTGAAACAAAAATCAGTTTCTTTTACAAAAGAAATAAATTTAATGATCGCGTGAAAACAGGCAGTGCGCGCCTCCGCAAACATGCCAGAGGCACTGCAGAAGCGGGGCAGCCCCAAAACCACCCTGAAAGCGTTATTGTACAGGACGCGGAGGTCGTTGTAACTTCGTTTATTATAGTCTGCCTACAGGCTGGATGAATAGAGTGACGTAAAATAAGCTCTAAACAGTGTAATTTTTACCTCCTGCGAGCAACGCACAAATCTGCGGACTATCATGTTGGCTCTGATGGACAACGCTCTCCACTCCCGCTCAATGTCCGTATTGTCCTTGAGGTCATTAGTTATTGTGTGTCCTAGGTACTTAAATTGATCGGCAACTTCTAGGGGCACCCTATTTTGTACACTGGAGGTAAATCCTGGGGACACTTGGTACCTGCCTTGAAGACCATGAATTGACTTTTCTTCACATTGTACTTTAGACCGTGTCCATTCGCATACTCTTCACAAATTCGTTTCAGTTTTCTTAAGCCACAGATTGACGCGCTCAGCAAAATCATGTCGTCAGCGTAACTCAGATTTTTAACACATACGCCGTCGATATGGCAGCCAAAGCGCTGGCTGCTGAGAGCGACGATCAAATCATTCATATACAAATTAAAAAGCGGCAAGTGGCAATAATAAAACTTGTGATAACCTTCAATTGTCCTACTATTTCGGACATTGCATTTGCTTATTACTTTATTTTCAGATGCTCCATATATTGATCATTTCTTGTTGGTAGAGTGTTGCTTGGGGAATGTGGTATGGAATTAAGTAGTGATTCTGAAATGAAAATAAATATTTGATAACATCCCATCTCTGCAATGTATTATGAATTGATGACAAAATTAAAAAAGGATGTTTAAGATTTATTGAAACATTTATGTTTTCTACATTAAGAAATAACACATATGACGTCAATTTATGTAAATTATTGCAATTAAAAAAAAATGGATTATATTTTTACCACTTGAGTGTAAGGCATACATATTGCAAGATCCTTATTTTTATCAATCTGTAGGTAGGGGCTTAACCAAGTTCACTTTCGGGTTGGATTTAGAATCGTTTGACCGGAATATGAGGGAGTAAGGTGTTTTATTTGGTAGAAGTTTTGTCCCCGATTATAATAATAAGACTCACATTAAAAGGTAATGCACCGTTATTGAAAAAAATAAATAAAGACTGTTATAAACGAAAATGGGTAAATTATGGAAAATGACACATTTTTTATTATTAACTGACTACGGCTCTGGGTTCTAGTCCTTCTGAGAAAAAATTATACGATATTACTGTGAAAGCTCGAGAAAAGGCTGTGAAAGAATTTTATGGCTGTGGCGGGAGCAAAGGCAACCTGACTTTATAGATATCTGATCTGATCGAATCTGTACTAAAATTAAATCAGCACGCCCCGAATCCACGTAGTCTTGTCTGCCCTACTCCTAAAGTGTTTTTGTAAATCTGTAGGCGCAGAGGGAGGGCAGCTCGTGATAGCAAATCGCAGACACCTGTACGAGCCGTAGTTTGTTATTATGGTGTGGCATACTATGATAATCTTGCCAGTACGATTCCAAAACCTCAAGTTTTCTTTTAAAATAATCTAATGTTTTACGCTCTGACCCATCTTTTTTAATATTGATACCAATTTTATAAAATTTATAAAAGCTAATATATTGGTGTATTGTTGAGTGCACGAGCGAGCGAAGCGAGCTCGGGACTTAGGGCACACCGACTCGGACAGGTTAGGTTAGAAGGGGTCTAGTGTTGCCATCTAGTGTCGGGGAACAGAGCGAAGAGGGCTTCCTAGAAAATGCCAAACTTGAAGATTCCACCAACAGCACCATCTAGTATCGAACAGAAGAATTAAGCTTTCTAGAAGGGTCCACTCTCTAACTTCCTGAACTTAGTCGGTCAGGACTGGTATCTGCTGAAACATTCTGGATATTGCAGTATTGAATTGGCGATACGAGCGAAGCTTTCGGATGAAATAAAGTGAACTAAAGTGTTAAGTGTGAATAATTATTAGTGTAATTTAAGTTTTAATTGGTGTTCGGTGATAAAAGTGTAAATTTTGGTAATTCAATCGGCAGTTTTTATTGTCACAAACCCTAAGCTCGTAACAATACTATTAATGTTTGTTATTTGCACTCGCTTTCGAACTATCAGTTAAGTTTTAACAATAAATTAATTGAATCAGATCAGGACGTTGCAATGGTTTTCCAGAAATATTTTACTGATATTCCTATCTTAACCACTAAGTCACTGAATTCTTCTCCTGCCGTCGCCGAATCATTACTTAAACAAAATGTAAATGCATGTACAAAGAATTTTACATTTCATAAAGTGTCATCAAAAGATATTCTAAAATATTTTAAGACTATTGATATTAAGAAAACCGCCGATCAGTGGGGGATTTCCGTTAAAGTTATTGCGTCTATAATAGATGCAATCGCACCTCAACTATCTATTATTTTTAATACTAGTATCAAATCTGGTGTGTTTCCTGATTTAATGAAGCGTAGTAAAGTAATATCTTTATTTAAATCTGGCAGAACATTGGACCCCGCTAATTTTAGACCTATTTCTATACTGCCAACACTTATTAAAAATTTTTAAAAAATTATTCTTGATCAAATGTAAATTTTTTTTAATGTAAATAATTTACTTCATAAAAATCAATTCGGTTTCACAAGGGGTCGCTCAACAACTGATGCTGGTGTTGAGCTTATTAAATATATCTTTAATGCATGGGAGAATTCACAGGATGCTTTGGGTATATTCTGTGACCTATCTAAGGCCTTCGATTGTGTTCACCATGAAACATTAATCAGGAAACTTCAACACTACTGTGTAAGAAGTAATGCTCTTAAATTAATTATTTCATATTTAAGTGACGGAACGCAAAAAGTTGTAATTAATAGTATGAGTTTTTCCGGGTCGATTGTACAAATGGGCGTGCCTCAGTGCTCAATTCTCGGCCCCTTTCTGTTTCTTGTATATATTAATGACATACCTTACATAGTAGGGGATAACCATGATATAGTATTATTGCTGATGATACTTCATAAATTTTCAAATTAAAACGACAGTTATTAAATTACGACGAAGTAAATAATGCTATAGCTAAGGTAGTCAATTGGTTTAATGTTAATAATTTGCATTTAAATGGAACTAAAACTAAATGTATGAAATTCGTAACTCCTAATGTCAAACATGTTAATACGAATGTAATTTTAAATGGGGAAGAACTGATTCTTGTTGATACCACCATTTTTCTTGGAATCACACTAGACGCAAAGTTCAATGGCTCCCCCATATATCAAAACTAGCTAGCGGACTTAGTTCTGCAGCATATGCTGTAAAAAAGATTAGAACTCTTACCAGTATTGAAACAGCAAGAATAGTTTACTTTAGTTATTTCCATAGCATTATGTCGTATGGTATTTTGCTATGGGGACACGCGACTGACACTGAAATTATATTTATTTTACAGAAGACGGCCGTTAGAGCAATATATAATTTAAAACCAAAAGAGTCACTGATACATAAATTTAAGGAAATTAATATATTAACTCTGGCCTCTCAATATAGTTACGAAAATGTAATGTACGTACACAAGAATAAACGTAGTTTTGCAAAAATAAGTGATATTCATTCTGTAAATACTAGGAACAGACACAAGCTAGTAGTACCAGTTACTCGACTCCACCGAGTCAGTAATTCATTCTTGGGGTGATGTGTACGCCTTTACAACAAAATCCCAGAAAATATACAAAATTTGTCATACGCAAAGTTCAAAAATTTTATTAAACTAAGTTTGTATAAAAAGGGTTATTATAATCGTAAAAGGAATTTATGGATGATAGCAACTCCTGGAAAGGGTGATCGCTACCAAGCTATTTCTAATTTATGTTGTGTTGTTAATTGTAAACATAATTATATTTATATTCCGGGTCCCGACCCGAATATGTCACTGTTGAACACTAACAAGGACCAATTTTTTCAATTCACAGGTGTGGACATGTCCTGTGCTAGAAAGCTGAAAAAGCAGACAATAGCAATTGATATATGACTATGTCTGGTTGCAATGACCTTATAAATATTTATAACAACAACAGAAAAATAATTTAAAATGTATTCTCGACCAACTAACGACCAACGAGATGTTTGGCGTGACCAACCTGATCAGTAAGGACAAGCATATTCCAATTGTCAAGACCGCGATACACACCAGAATGGCGTTACACAGGCAGACCATACGAGGACTAACACGATTGTTGAATATTGTAAGCGTAATTTAAACTCATCAATATTTATTTCATTGTAGTAGATAAGCGATTTAAATGAGCCATTATAGCTTAAGGACTGGACGTTTGCTCTAGCCGTAAGTTTCTGTTTGTACTAGCAACCCGAATTAGATATATCTTCATTATAATATGAAGAAACTTGTTGTTTTATACCAGTTCTACTAAAATACATATTACGTACATTATGTTTGTTTTACATATTGATATTTAAATAGTAATATTTTTGGAACGTACTTCCCAAAAATGTTACTAGAGTAGAGTCACACTGCACTAATGGGCCGACCCACCGGGGAAGAACTACATTGATGTAAATGAGAGAATAATGCTGCTATGTTTCATGTAGTGGGTGAAGAGAATCAAAGACCATTCTAACTAGTGACGAGGTATTCTATTTCAATATATATGGAATAACAATTGATGAAGATTAGAGTATAACGGCGAATTCTTTATTGATTTATAAGCCTTTCTGAAAAAAAGGAGATTAGCGCTCAGTAGATATAGTAACGTTTAAGTTAATACTTTAAGTTGGCATATATTGGCTAGCCTTCCTGTACCCGCGAGTCGGTCTGCGGGATCATCAAAACCCTATTTTTAGTTTTTTTCCTCATATCGTAAATGCTGTCAGTTTTTACTTTCTGCAAGCTCAATGATTGATTTTTGTGTGGAAAATGCCTTCACACCTGTCGTACTTAGTGAAAATAAGTTTGTGGGTGCGACGTGGTTAATACAATTCAAGGAGATACAAAGTGGAGGGCGCGGTGCGTGCGACGCGTTGCCCCGGGACGCTTGCGCGGGAGGCGCTGCTCCGGCGCGCGCCGCCCTGCGCGGTGTGTGTGTCGTCTGCCGCCCGCCCCTGAGCACACCCCACCTACCCTGCGCCGCGTGCCCACCGCCCTACCCACTCAACTACGAACATCTGCATGCACAGGTTAGCTACTTCTCCAACTGCTCCGTACTTTGCTTCGACCCGTAAACAATGCACTACTCCACATAGACGGCTCCGTGGCGCAGTGCCTTAACAATTTGATGCAGCGTTAAGGTTTGAATCTCACACGGAATGAGCATATGTATGCCCTAAAACTAATTGTGCTGGATCTAGATGTTCGTCATTGTACAATTTATGTATGTTAACTGACTCCACAATATAGGAGAATATCCCAGTATTACGCACACATACTTCACAAATACAAAAAGGGTTATTAGAGCTCAAATTTCGTAGGCTATTACATGTACACTAAATTTACAAAAGATTTGGCTTGGCACTGAAAAAAACTCATTAAAATTAATCATATACTATAAAAAATCCGCTACCGTTCATAAGCGTCCCTTAAGAGTGGATAGAGACTTCATTATAACACTTGATAGTTAAATTCAAGATCCCTGTACCACCACCACCTGCTGACTAGTGGCGTGGCGTTGACCATGAAACGGTGCGTACCACCAACGACCGCAACTATTCTTCACATTCCACAGCTTCAGAAGATTCCAATATTCAACACAAAACTGATAAAGCGTCGGGTACTGTTGAGTTAGATTCCACCACAAGTTGTCATATTAACAGTATTCCTTGCGTGGACTCTTATCCACATCATCCACATATTTTACTTAAAACGATTTTAGTGATGCCACTAATTCATCTTTTTCTTATCAGGTATCTTCTCCACCAAATTCAGTCTCCAAACGATCACGCTGTGTACCTACTATTAACCAGCTTGGATCTGAAGATAAAAGCGTGCTAAGTAAGAAAATTGATAAAGTAACCGTCCCTAAGAAACAATTTAAAGAAAACGGCCCCAACAAACTCAGTCATTTGTGCTTTCCTCCACCAAAAATAGTAGCTGAACCACCTCGTTGTCGGCAGCCTTCTCTTTTCGAGCGATTGCGAAGCCGACCCAAGAGTTCTTGCCGAAGAGTACGCAAATTACACTCAGCAGTAACTAATTTGACTAAATGCGACAACAACAAAATCGACAAACATATTATATCAAAAACTGAATTGCAATCCGTAATTTCTGAAGTTCTTGCCGATGCAGCAAAATTAAATAAAATTCTGAGTGACAGAAATGAACTAAAAGAAGCAGCAAGTGGTCGAATTATATTAGAAGAGCAAAAACGAGAGCCTATAGAGAGTGGAGGCATAAAACTCCCTGTGCCGGCTGGAGTGCACACTGTGAAGGTGCAAGTGACTCTGCATTAAGATTCGGTTCCACAACTCAATCAACTTGTCCGTTGTTCTCATTCGGATATCATCGAATCGAATCGAATGTCCCTCGCAAAATACATCATCTAAACAGACAAGACAAAATTTTCATGAAATATGTTGTAAAACAAGACAAAATTCAGAATCATCTTGTGACTGTAAATAGACTAAATCTAATCCATCTTGTAAGATAAAACAAAAACGAAAGGCATGTCCATATGATTTGATGCCGACACCAGAACCAAGATAATGTTCGTCAACGAACGACCTTCAAGCGAACACGATACTACTCGCTTAACGATTACAAAATCTCACATAACGCCATTGCGGTGTGTGTCACCGTTTTGAAATAAATACGTTTCTGAAACATAAGTAATATTTTATTTATCTTGCTTGCCGACTATTTGCAATAATTATAATTCATTCACACTTTACTTGCAGCTCTATTGCTGAACGCGTGCCACTTCCTGTGAATTGCCTCAAAGAGAAAAATTTGTATTTTGTGTGTTTAAGTTGCGAAGTTGTATTTAAGTTATATTTAAGTGTTTAAGTTGCAGGTGAACCGATTTCATTCGCACAAAATATTTTCTTTTAAGGTTTAAATGCAAGTTATTTACTTGGTTTAGTAATTTACTTAGTTTACTTTAGACTTTGGAATTATACAATAATAAAAATCAAACGGTAATATTAGTATAGATAGATTTAAACTTATTAGGTGTAATTTCGTAAAACAAATCAAAAGATGAATAACTGCAACGCCAAAAATTGTCAACCTAGCAACTGCTCCAGCACATACAGTCGCAGCCCCTTATTACAAGTATGTAAAGCAAATTGTTTGTTTTGAATGCCACGTTAACGCCGTTTTTCTTAAGAGTATTAAATAATAATAATACTCTTAAGAAAAAAGAAAAACGGCGTTAACGTGGCATTCAAAACAAACAATTCGCTTAGGAATATTTGTAATAATAAAGATAAGTTAAATATTAGTTAAAAATCGGGTGTTTATAAACTTATTTGTGATGAATGCCACGACGTTTACGTGGGTCAGACTGGTCGCAATTTCGGGACGCGCTATAAAGAGCATTTGGCCGCGTACAGAAATTGCAATCCTGATAAATCCCATTTTGCTAAACATCTCTTGGACACTGGACACAACCTAGCTATCGACCATTCCTTTGAAGTCTTACATACCTGTAATAAGGGGCTGCGACTGTGTCTGCTGGAGCAGTTGGAGATTTTAAAAAGTAATAATGGTATTTATGCACTGCTGAATGAACAAACAAATATTTCTAATTCACCTTTGTTAAACATCTTTAAGGCTAATCTTTAATAATAATTTTAAGATTGATAATAATAAATAACTATAATAATATCGATAAAACAATAATAATAATAGTATTTTAAAATATTGCGGTCGTTCTTTTTTTTTTTTTTATAAATTTTAATTTCTTTTCCTTCCTTTTCTTTTAAACAATCAAACGGGCGGGTTGACGTTTTTTTTTTTGGGGGTGTTTGTTTTTTCTCTCCCTCGCTTTTTGATCGCTAGTTATCGTTGACTGAGCGCGATAATCAAATTAAAAGGGGTCTTGGGGGTTTGGGTTATAACAATAACGATAATTAGTAGTAGGTTTGTTATCGCACGGCGCGGTCACTCGCTACTTTGGTGGGGAGCGATTGTGTCGGCGTGTATAAATAGCAGCTGTTTCGGCTCGCCGCTCACTTAGCGGTCAGCCGCCGTAGAGTTTATTAGTCATTACCTGAAGATACCTCGTGAAGAGGCGAAACACGTGTCGTATTATCGTCGATGGTGTGTCTTACCTGGAATAGTGATGGTGGGACTAGCTGTAACGTTGCACGTAAATGTATGCATAATTATAATTAAACGGTTTATTAAAATTAAATAAACATTTAATAAACTAAATAAAAATTAAAATAAAAGTTATTAACAAAAATAATTCTATAATTAACTTAGGTATCCTATTAATAAAACAAATCAGTAAACTAAAAGAACGAATTAAATAATAAATCAAATATTAAAATATTGTATTTCGAACAAACACTCTGACGCTTCGTTACTCTATGCGCTTTGCAACTCTCGCGTCAGAGTTTTACCCGGCCGGTATCATTCCACGGCGTCGCGCTTCCGGTCATTCTCCGCCCGAGCGCCCTGGGAGGCGCACACTACCACTGCAGCCGCGTTCACAAGCTCTGCTTTGTGTCCTCGTACGCGCTTGCAAATTTTAATCCCATTTTGGAAAAAGTTTAAAATAATATAGTAATTCCGGCACTGTGGCCGTATAGTTTTTTCGTTAATTCTCGTCACCGAGACCTCCGTATCGTCTTGCACCCCGTAAGGGTAAGTGTTTAAACGTTACTTAGTTTTAAGTAGTGAAAGTGTTTTATAGGTAGTGTAATTTGATCATGCCAGGCTGTTTGCTTTTAGCTATTTAATTGCCACGTTATTAGTGTTATTTGCATGTAAGTAATGTATGTAGCCGCTGTGTGCGTTGGCAAAAGTACCTTTACAAAATGGCGTCTCATACATTTCGCACCGCGATCAAATATCGCAAGTCACCATCATGTTTCAACCAATGCACAGCCTAAATTAGTTATCCTGGTACATTTAAACAGTATTTTACACTTGCCGTAATTTTAATTCATGTGTATTTTAATTTGCGCCTCACCGCTATGACGCTTGCCTTCCATTCCGCCTTGTAACTCCGTTCTGATTATGAACACCCGCCAGCTACTCTCTGTGCTCCCATCTACTGCTAGCCTGCGATATACCGGGGGTTCATAATCGGCGGCATTTTATTACCTGGACCTAAATGTGGACGACGTTGTTTCCAGGGTGCAATTTTACGACTACAACCGTGGCGGTCGTCCTTCTTAAGAGGGCCTAGGCCTCCCCTCGACGCCGTCACCGCCACAGCCAGCTGCCCACGGCGCTCCCCGTGAACAGTCCAACCCCCCGGCCCTGCTCGACCACCTCGCGGCCACATAGGGGAGTACCTGACCCTGCCAGTGAAGCCAGACGGGCACTTTTTTTAAATTATCGGAACCACGCCCACGACCTTTTCTTTTACCAATATATAATTTTTTTTTATGACTGGTTGTTGCCTTATTTTAAACATCAACCGTCACACTGGCGCCCATAAACGTGGTAAAAAAAGGTCTGGTTTCACTGCGTAGGAGTAGTTGGTGTTTGTGTCGTTTTGTGTTTGTGAAACGTTTTTGTTTTTTTGTTTTTTGGTTGCAGCAACTAATGTGTACGAATTTCATTATTGTGTTTGTTTTAGGAATTTTATTGAATTTCAATTGATTTATTTATTTACTTGTATTATTTGAGAGATCATAAACTTTAATCCCTAACTAAGAATTTGTTTAGTTTCGAATAACTTTTCGTAATCACTCTATGCCGTGCACTACCCTATGTTGTTTACGTTCTATCATTGTACAGAGTAGTTAGCGTGCAGAGTGGTCACTGTGTAGTCTGTGATAGAGTAAATTTAATATTGTTCCGAGGTATTACTATTCTAATTCTGCAGTAGGTTTTTTTTCTCGTGGTTTTTTTTTCTGTGATATTATTATTATTGAAATTTTATGAATTGTAACTATTCCCTATTGTTGCTGCAGAACTCTAGTTCAGTTGAGTCACGCATGCGTTGGTAGTATTTTAAATTATTCAATCATTAATTGTTTTTTATTTTAATTCTTAGGCATATTATTATTATCTTGTTGTTGTTTTATTTAATTGTTCGAGTACACATTAGTTGCGTATTTTAATTTTTTGTTGCGCTGCTTCTTTTATTTTGGTGGCAGTTGCTTTATTCTTTTTACTGCTTCTTTTATGCGCCAATCGTTTTAGTCAACCAGAACGTTCTTAGTACCTGATATTATAATTGTAACGGAACGGAGTAGATTAAGTCAGTAACGACTCAACACTTACCTCTTTGCGGTTATACGCGTGTTATAATGGCGCACTCGGTTAAATTCATATCGTTGCAAAAGTCGGAGTTAGAATACGAAGTTGCCATTAGAGGTGCCACCCCGGCTGACACAGTCAGAGAGTTACGCGAGCAGATTGCTAAATTAGGTCCACTCTTTCCTTCGGAGGACATTCTCGAGAGCGTTTTGTCTGTCGGCGATGATTTAAAGGGAGTCGGCGATGCTTTAATTAAGCTAAGAGCATATATCGAGGCGCCTAGCGATGGGAATGCGTTGCTTCGTGCTCGCAACCTCATTAACCACCTCCATCATCGACTCAACCGTATAGTTTGTGATAGCACGACCCAGCAAGGGGTGGTGGATACGTGTGTTTCGGAATACAGGCAACTTTTGGAACGCTATAATGCTATTACTGCTACTGATTCCACCCCTTCTCTGGCATCTAGAGACCCTCAGTCTACTGCTGCTTTACCTCTCAACGTTAACGTAACTTGTGAGCGCGGCGTGGCTAGTGAGTTCACTAAGTTTAAGTTCGACGGCAAATCTTGCGTTCGTGCATTTATCCAGCGCATCAATGAATACAGCCAGTCGAGGAATATACCGGGGGGAAAAACTGCTGTCTTACTGCGCTGAGATTTTTACCGGCGATGCCTTGCATTGGTATCGTGCCATTCGGGACCAGGTATCTAATTGGGACGAGTTAGTTTCCCTTCTTAGAGAAGATTTCGACCAGGCCGATTATGATTACAGACTCTTGTCGGAGATTCGGGCCAGAACTCAGGGCGAGTCTGAAAATATAACTATTTACATTTCTATTATGACTGGGCTATTCTCACGTTTGTCCAAGAGCCTGTCTAACGAAGACAAACTTGAGATCATTTTACATAACATCCGCCCATGCTACGCCAGCACCTTAGCTTCTGTCCCGAAGATCTCAGACCTCGACACCTTGCGTTCGCTCTGTCGTAATTACGAGAACATTCAGGCTCGCCTAGTGGGATTCCACGAACCTCCGAAGGTCTCTTCAGGAACACTGGCGCCAGAGTTTG